TAGAAGAAAGTATTCTTGTGTTGAGGGAGTACTTGAGTGGAGGCCCAATGGAGGGACAGTATTTTTAGAAGTTGTATTTTGCACACTCTCTCCCTTCCCCTTTTGGAAATGCTCTTCCTGCACTGAGTAAAGGGGACTAATGAGATGCCAGGAGAGTTCGGGCCAGTGTTCCTTGAAGCAGGTCTGAAGGAAGCTGCTCACACCTCCGTCCCGGTCATCCTGCCTTACCTGTGGCCCCTTTCTCTGTCTCTTTGTGCAGGTGGCCCAGACAGCAGATGGTGTGGACGCTGACCTCTGGAAAGATGGTTTATTTAAATCCAAGGTTACCAGATACCTGTGTTTCACAAGATCATTTTCCAAAGAAAATGTAAGTCGAGTGGCTCCTATTTGCTGAGTAAGCACATATAATTTACATCCTTGTTTCAAATATATGTGTGTGTGTGCATAAATATATATATGCATATATATACTGGTTTGGTTGTGAAGCTGGTGCTTTATTTATCTTCATGGTCATATTAACTTATCTGTGGTTTTTAGTGATGTGGGTAGAATCAGCAGCTCGCACCGTGTTTCATTTATTAACAGTATTATTAACCACATTCCCAAGTGTACAGTGAATCCCATTAAAATGCCTGTTCTCAAAAGGAAATTTCCCTCTCAACTCTCATTTGCGTACCTTTCCCCCAAGCCACAAATCACTGGGCCTAGAATGTTCCGGTGGAGCTTGGAGCACAGCTGGTCCAGCGGAAGCCTTCCAAGAGGAGGATCCGAGTGCCTGGCCCTGTCCAGAGACATTGGTTTTGTTTTCTCTCTCTCTCTCTCTGTCTCTTTCTCTCTCTCTCTCTCTCTATACACACACACACACACACACCACCCCAGGAGCCTGTCTCTGACATATGACAGCTGGTTAGTTTACAAGTGGAGATCTGAGTGTGCAGACCTCTCTTGGTGTGCTGTTGTTCATACTTGGGCACGTCCCTTTGAGAATTTGAAAAGATACTGGGTTAGGCTGGGTTGCCTAGAGAAACAAACTAGTGACACTAGGGAAAAGAAAGAACCTGCGATTCAAGAAATAACTGTCTATCCAGAAGGCATCCTGGCCCAGTCCAACGCAAGCCTATCCGTCCAATGCTCTTCAGACACACACAGCTGCAGGCCGATGATGCAGAAAGGTGGACGCAGGCTGGGGGGTGCAGTGGCATCTGGATCCACAGTCGCCGGGAACATGGCAGGGCGGCAACAGGTCTCGGTGTCCGTCAGACAGCCCACATGGGGCTGCCTCTGGAGCCCCAGCAAGATGAAGACAAAGGGCCAGGGAAGGAGAGAGAGAGAAGTTCGCAGTTTCTCTCTTCTAAAAAGGCTGCACCTTCCAAGAGGCACCACATCAGGCTGTGACCATGATTGACAGGTTGGACTCCACCTCCACAAGTGCAAGTTGACCTAAAAGCTACCTGTCAGACACCCCTGCTGGGGCCCGTCCAACGGCTGGCTTAGGAAAAAGGGAATCCCTTTGCTGAGGCTCCGCCCAGTGCTCAGTTTGGGAGATATTGCGTTCAGGAGAGTTTAAGTGGATGTCCAAGGTCACTATCGTATCATTGCCCCCACCCCCAATAGAGAGAACTGTTTTCACTTCCAGGCAGTGACATTTGATCTTTGACTTAGGTCTCTTTTGAACATCAACATTTGCTCTTTGAAATATTTTTCTTTAATTTGTTTTCACACATTTTATTATAACGGTCATGCATGTTCTTGGTTTTAAAAATATATGCAGTATCTTTATTTCCAAGGTATCAAAGGGGAAAGTAGCGGCCTTTCTCTCCACCAATAGCCCCACAGGCTGGGCCCTCAACTAGCAGACAGCGCCTGCTTTTAGGGTTATGTAAATGTGCCCTGACTTTAAAAAACAAAGTCTAAACCAAAGGGAACTTGCAAAAATTCTTTTTTAAATTTTTTTTATAATAAATATATACAAAACCATATAATTAAGTCTAAAGAAATAAATAAGAAATATAAAATATATCAACATAAATAATTATATATAGAAACATAAAAAGCTGAATGAAAATAAATGAATATGTATATATATAAATCAATATATGAAAGTGAATGACTAAATAGGCATATATACAAACATATGTAAAGAAATGAAATAAAAATATAAATAAATAAGGGTATGAATAAATATGTGAAATAGTAAATAAATATATGCGTATAAATAAATGAATGAAACAGGAGTAAATGTGAAGATATAAATCTATAAATAAATAAAATATAAATAATGACGTAAGATAAATATATAATTATCAGTATAAGCATATAAATAAATATCAAACAATAAATTGAAAGTATATAAATCAATATATAAATATAGATAGATATAAATATTATAAGATATGAATGCATAAATGTAAATAGAGATAAAGAGAAATGAATAATATAGAAATATACTATATACAAATATGTAATGAATAATATATACATAAAACGAATAAATAAAAGTATAAATAATTGCATAAATACTTTGATAAGAATTAATATAAATGTATACATCTATATAGATCTATAGATAATTATAAATCTATAACCACAAATATGAACATAGAAATACATATGAATAAATACTTATAAAATATAAATAAATAATCGTATACATATAGGAATAAATATATAAATAAATATCTGGGGAATTGTTTCGCGCAGGTGCTGTCCCACAGGCCGGAAATCCGGGGACTCACTCATTTACCTAAGCGCAAAAATTCTTCACAATCATCTTCACTTGCTGCAGGTGCAGCTTTTACGTCACTGAAGGCTTTTCTTGCCCGGAAGGCAGGTACTCACAGCTTATGTGCACCTGGTCCCCCTGAGCCACCGACGCAGGAGTAGATGTCCCAGTGGCCCGAGGACTATGGGTGCTGGCTGTTGGCAGATCCTGAGGAAGGACAGTTGCAGGCTTCTCTGGCACGCATTCTCCCATCCGTCCCCGGACGGTTGTTCTTTGTGATGCTTTACTGGGAGATCATTCGTCATGTATTCAGGACTAAGGGAGAAGCCTCAATTCCCACCCCCTCCATAATTTCAAGAGTAATAATATATGCTCATTGTCAAGTACTGAGTTTCGTGACAGAGTAGGGGGTGTCCTGGTGTTAAAACACAGAAACCTTTTTAAAGGGATTTTTTTCCAGGCATTGTAGCTTACTATGGGGCCCTGGTAGCATAGTGATTACATTGGTCAGCAGTTCAAAACCACCAGCTCCTCTGCAGGAGAAAGATGAGGCTTGCTGCTCCTGTAAAGATTCACAGTTTCAGAAGCCCCCGGGGGCAGCTCTACTCTGTTCTATAGGTAGCTGTGTGTTGGAATGATCTTGATAACAGTGAGTTTGGTTGGGGGTTTATAGCTTGCTAAGTGGCAGGTGAATCACACTCTTTGTTGACCAGACGACAGTGGCATGCTTACAGTGTCCTTGCTAGTTGCCATCAGTCTTTTCCGACTCATGTCTTCGAGCAGAGCTGTGCTCTGGAGCCTGCTCAAGGCAGTGACCTCTGAGAGCAGAGCACCAGGCTTGTCTTCTGTGAAAGCTCTGAATAGGATCAAATGGCCAAGCCTTTAGCCAGTCCTTGAATGAGAGCTTAACCGTTTGCACCACCAAAAGACTCCTAACAAACCTTTGTAATAGTTCAAGCAGAGCTCTGGGCTCATTGTCCTGTCAGCAAACAGCTCCACATTAGGAGTAGTCCCAAGCCCCCCAGTGCCCACACGGCACACTCTCCCAGCACCTTGGTCCCTGCAGTCTACCTAAACTTTTCTGAATTCACTTTTAGTTTTTGTAATCTCTCCTCTGCTCATGGGCTGCCTCTTTCTACAAAAGGCCAGTGCATTCATGGCCACACAGGGCCGCAGGGATGGACTCCTGGCCACTTGAGCAAACTTGTGTTCACACCCTCTCCACCTTAAGCAGTCCCCTGGTAGTCACTACTGCTCTCTGCTTACTTGGCCTCTGTCTTCCCTGACTGAAGAGGCTTCCTCTGCGAAATAGGAGAGGGCAGCCACAGTCTCTGTGATTGGTATATTCATTGTGTCGGACTTCTCTCCAAAGGCTGTAGCCTAGAAGCCCGGCATACCTGTGAACACCGGCAGGTCTAAAAATGGCAAAAGCCCCTGGTACTTGTTCATTTGGGGTGTTACGGTCAAGTTCAGTCTAGAAAATGTGTTTACTGAATGCTGGCTTTGTGTGTCTTCCTACTCCCTGAGCTGGGCGGCCCTGGAGTGGGCAGAGATGAAGGCATACAAAGAGACCAGGGCAAGGGCCAGGGGCTGGGATCTGTGCCTTTATTAATTTATTTTGGAAGCGGGGGGATAAGGACATTTTGTTTTCAGAAAGTGAATGAATGGATGGGCCTACAGCAGGCCCCAAACGCTCTAGTTCCAGGAGGAGTGGCAGGCCCCACTTGCCAGACCAGGAGCGGAAGGAATCGGGTCTGTTTTGATGTCCTATAGCCCTGTCTCTATCTGAGCCAAGACTTCACATAACGTTTTTTTTTTTACAGCTGTACAGGGAGGGACATGGGATCTCAAGACCAGACAGATTCTTAATTAGGTGTCTTGAGCCTCCCAATGTAGGAGTTTGGGGAGACGCCTTTGGAACCTAAATTTCTTTTCCCCAATAATGCTATTAATACAGGAACCTGGCTTTGGAGTGACATTGCTTCCTGGGGAAGGGACGAGATTAATTGCACTTTTCATGCCCTGTACTTTCTGCATTACCTGTAATAATAATGTACATAGATTAGGTAGGGAGGATATTAAACAGAAGGATTTATGAACATTTGAATATTAAGTTGGTTATCTGTGGCTACCTTAAATGCAAGGTTGTCAAAAATAATTACAGTATACTAGCAAATACTGGCTACCAGAGACAATATAAATACCCCGAGTCAGTGCACATTGGGCTGCTGGCATGAATCATTTGCTCAACAAGGATTGGGAATACGTTCTTCATATTTATGAGGAGGAAATGAACGAGAGCACGGGATGGGGGAGGGGAAAGGAACAAGTAAAATTAATGGTGTCGCAGACCAACTGTATTAAACCCAGTGCAGCGGCGGCTCCGTGCAAGGAGAGACCACCCTCGGACTGCGGGAGGCTTTGACAGAGCAGCCTCCGCTTTGTATGCACATGAGGGTCCTTCGCCGCTTCACTTAATGGCCACCCCCCTGACGCGCTGATGATCAGGGACAGTTTTAGCGAGCGTGGAGGGCGAGGTCGCTAAGTGGTTTGCAGTTGACTTCTGTAAAGCCCAACATGTCATGCAGAAGACATGTGAGAAGGATATTGATGCATGCCCATCCATCTCCAGGGCAGAGAAACATACCCAGTTGTTAATTTCTCAACACAGAAAGCGGCGATGACATGGAAAAGCAACTGCCGTGGGGGGAACATTTATGATCGATTAGATCAGGCACTTCTGTAAGCCGCTGATGTTCGCTAGTTAGCTTACCAGTCCAAATCCCTCCTGCCCAGGCAGAGACCGACTCTGCCAGAGAGGAGCCTCCACTGCCCACTTGCGGCGCCCTGAGACCCAACCCCCTGAAACGTGGCAAAATGTTAGATGGTTGGCCAGCCTCACAGCTCTCTCTGGGAGAAAGTGGCTTTGTGATTACCGAACCATCCTAGCAACTGGCCTTAGGCGACATGTGCCATTCTGACCTCTGCCGTTGAATCTGAGGGCGTATTTCATTTGTGAAGTAGGACTTCTCAGCAAGGGATCATGAGCGTCTACTACAGGCCAAGTGAGGCTCAGGTTTACGAAAAGATGTGGCCGTGGCCCGCACGGCTCTTGGAGGCTAGAAGGAGACGAAGACTAAACAAGTAAACGCACAGATTGAGAAGGAGAATAGATTGTGCCCGGAGAGAAGAGCGTGCAAGAGGTAGGGGTCAGGAATGCCTGTCCTGAGGTCCTGTTGGCATTTTTTATGTCCAGGAGGTGGGCGGCTTGGCTCCCCTGTGCCCACAGAGAGAGGAGGAGCCTTCATTTCCTAAGCAAACCGGAAAGAAAGGCCTGAGGACAGGAGACCACATGCAAAGTGAGGGGCTGCCCAACTAGCTGTTGCCCAGGGATGCAGGACAAGTCAACGGGGAGAGTGCTCCTGCTGGCCTTTATCAACGAGAAGCTTCTGGAAACAGGGCATGTGACGTGCCTGGCAGCATCGTACCAGCAGAGATTCAGGATTGGAACCCATAATTCTTTCCTTAACTGGCTGTGACTAGAGAGCAGGAGAACTGAGCGTCCAATTTCTCTGAAGAGACTAAGGAAGTCTCCACGGTGTCCCGTGTATTAAGTTGTAGGGTAGGTAGCTTTAGAGTTCATTGCCAACGCAAGACGCAGCTGCGAGTGGCAGCGTGTTTGCAGAGAACTCTCTCCCGCAATTAGAGGATGGTGTGCTATCTCGGCGAGCTCTTTCCATCCTGGTTATGGCAACTGTGCACGGTGGACCCCAAATGCTGCTGCGGAAGAGAAACTCTAAGAGGCCCTTTGTGCTTGTCATTTTAGAAGATGTGTTCTAGGGAGGCTGCAGGGCTTTCCCTCCGTGTGAGTTTATGATTCTTGGGATTTTGTAAAATGTATCTAGCCACTGAAGTGCGTGTCAGTATGCAGACTGGTGATCATTCAGGAGGGTGATTGGTTCTCTGCTGGGTCTAGATGCACCCCTCCCCCACCAACACACACACACACACATACACACACGCCCATGAGCACCACAGGGATGTGCTCTAACACAAGTTCTGGCGCTGGTCCTCATGACTGTCTGGCAGCCTGGGTCTAGGTTGTGTCTGTACAGCCACCCACTGCTGGGCTGTGTCTCCGCGCGCCCCCCCCCGCCCCCCCCCACACACAGGAGCTGCTCATCCGGGTAACCCAGGCCAAATCTAAGTGAGTTTCTTTGAAGTTCCACAGATAAAACTCCTTCCCAGGGGCCCCTGGAGCCCCTGTGTAATGGCTGGGGAACATTAACTGGCACCTACTCTAATTAACCTGCTCTCGTAAAGCTCCACAAATCACGGTGCTAAATATGCATCTTGAAGTCAAAATGGCAAAGCGACCACCGTCGGGCTTAGATTAATAGTCTGTATCTCTCTCCTTTCCTCCCAAGAGTCACTTAGGGAATGTGCTAGTGGATATGAAGCTCATTGACGTCAAGGACACCCTGCCCGTGGGCTTCATCCCAATTCAGGAGACGGTGGACACACGTGAGTCATCCTTCTCGTGCTCATGGCAGTGAGCGTTTACGTCCTGCAGGTAGATTTCTTTCTCACAGGTGTTTTCCTTCAGAAATAAGGGAGCCAGAGTGTTCCATGGTCAAAAAACAAGCCATGCTCACTACCACCGGCTCGATGCTGACTTATAGCGCCCTCCACAGCAAGGGGGTAAAACTGCCGCCTAGGTTTCCAAGCCTGTAACTGTGACCGGAGTAGAACGCCTCATCTTTCTTCTGCAGGCTTCCCAGGAGTTTCCAACTGTTGACCTTGTGGCTAGCCGCCGCTGCACGGCACTCCCAGGGCAATTTTCTCTTAGAATGGCGCTCCCCGAGAAACGCCACCACCGAAGTGGCTTCCCAGAAACAAAGCGGTGAATCTGGTTATAGTTCCTCCTTAATCCATCCTCCAGTTTCCCCGACACTACACTGGGCACGAGACCTAGAAGAAAAAGAAAGAGAAAAAAAAATCAATCAAATGATGTCCAGGGGATACACGTGCAACAACACTGCCAGCTGGGCTCTTAGAACTGACCAGAAAGTCCAGAACCAGCCAGACGACCAGGCGGAGCACACGGAAGGTGATTTGACCAGATGTCCTGGCGGCCGTGGGGAAGCAGAAGCTGCTGTCTCGGGACCCGGCGTGCCCCAGCTCTCTGCCACCCACATCAGTGAAGAAATGGTGCGGGGAAATCTCTGGATACTTGTGCCTCTTCATTTCAACGAGGAGAACTTATTGTGTTCTTTCGCTTTTAACGACTTGTTAGTCCACATAAGCATAGCCCCTAGAGTCGAGCCATACATGAAGGAGAATCGGGATATGTGGCTGGCTTGTGAAATCCTGCATCTCATTCTCTGTAGCACATACTTTTTTCGGTAGTTGATCCCATTGTAGACCTATTGCTTTCTGCTGGCTTTTTGTTTGCTTGCCTTACATTTTTTAAACTAGATTTCATACAGACCAGGCTTCCCATTTCTAGGCAGAGCCCATACCTGTTATCCTAAAGGAGTAGACTCCATTGTGGAATGTACTTTTACAAGAGGACATCTAAACGTTTGTGGCAATTTTTCAGTATCTTCTAATACAACCGTTCCATGAACTTTTTGAAGTCCCCTCATATTTTTCAGTGGTCTTCCTCCCTTTTGGACAGTGGGTTGCTGTTAGTGGTGTGTCAGAGCCCTAGTGGCGCAGCGGCTTTGGATTGGGCTGCTAACCACAAAGTCAGTAGTTTGGAACCACTAGCTGCTCAGAGGGAGAAATACAGACATTTTTTTCCCCGTAAACAGTGACAGTCTCAGAAACCCATAGGGGCAGTTCGACCTTGCCCTATAGGGCCACTATGAGTGAGCTTGATTTGCTTTTTGGTTTCGTTGTTTGTGTGTATTGACTACTAATCATAATGGCTAAGGCTTAGCCTGTATTGACTGTGTGCTAAGCCCGATGATAAGTACTTTGCATACTATTATTGTATGCTCCCAAGACCATCTCGAGTCATAGCAACCCTATAGGATAGAGTAGAACTGCCCCACAGGGTTTCCCAGGCAGAAACCTCAGGCCTTTCCTCCCACGGAGCAGCTGGGGGGTTCAAACCGTCGCCCTTTCATTTCGCAGTGGAGTGCTTAACCCCCGCGCCACGTGGATGCCATTGAACTAGCCCAGGCCACACATCCAGAGAGGGGGAGTAAGAAAGAGGACTGGAATACATGCAAGTCTTCCTGGCTCCTGCCACACTCTTGCCCACCATGTCATGCCTATTATCCTCTGTCTATACTCCCTTTGCAAATACACTGTATTTACAGACGTTGATGTTTTTGTTAGGTGCCCCGACTTGTAGCACCCCTTTGTACCACAGAACAAAGCTGCCGCCCCCGCACCATCCTTCCACCAGTTGGCTCTGTTGGAGCCCATTGCTTCAGCCAGGGTGTCAGTCCATCTTATTGATTGATGGTCTTCTCCTTTCTCACTGATCTTCTACTTGACAAGCATGGGTTTTGAGGGTAACCACTTCACTAACGTGTAATCTACATATCATGCAATTTTCCCATTTAAAGTGTCCAATTCAATTTTGGTATATTCATAGAGTTGAACAGCCAGCACCACAATCCATTGTAGAATATTTCATCCCCCTGGAAACCATTCCCCCCATACCTGGGCCTCACTGACTGCTGCACTCAGGACCTTCTGAGGCCAGGCCATGGATTTTCTACCAGATGCCTTGTCGCTCAGGGTGGGCTGTCTCTCCATTTCAGTTGTCCGGTCACTTCCTGGAAGCTTCTACCCAGAGAGGGCAGAGCCCAAGTGGACCAGACATACCACGTGGCCGGGCCTGTGCAGTGTGAGAGCAGTTACGGCCCTGGTTTTATAAAGTCAGAGGTTCCGGTCATTAATTTAAAATGCAGTTTGCTGCAACCCGTAGAGCACTTAAAAATGGGAGACTGTTTGTCTTAGTAAAGTGCTCCGTGCTTTCCGTGTTCATTAGCATGACTGAACACATTCCTACTGACTATGTACAATATGTTTACTTAAAATTAGGCCTGCTTAAGCATGTGTAATTAGTGGCTCCATTTCCTACCCTGAGTTTGCTGTAGGGGAAGGACAAGAGGGGTATAGCAAACCCACACAAAAGACCTGCATCGGAGTTTTCCTGGAGGAAAGCCTTTCTCTGCTTCATACCTTCAAAGGCCCGATCTCATCAACGAATCATTTAATTTCTGAAGGTGCAAGATTGCTGTGGGCTTTCCCTTCCAGGATCTCGCCTCTGCCTTGTTAGAGACCATCATATTCGGGGTCTGGATTCAGAACGTTACTAGCCACAGCTTGTAGGTCTGTTCAGGCCTCCAGACTATTCACCTGTGAAACAAAACCACCAGGTTTCTGGGAAAACCTCCAAAAGACCCAACACCCGTTCCCTCTCTGCTCCCACACCCCCAAAACCAACTACTACCCACACGATAACACCAACAATTTGAATTACTTTCACGGTAAAACCATCTGAAATCATCCCGATGAGTGGGAGGATGGGATTACCCTCCCCCGCCCTCTCCTGCTCTGATTTGAAGGTACTGCTGAGTCTGCTGTGTTAGCTTATTTTCACACTTCCCGCCGCAGAACTGAAAGCTCTTGAAAGTCAAGACCAACGACTAAAATACAGCGCGTGCCAGAAACTTACTTGTAATAACGACGGTAAGAACAAGTCTGGCCATTCTTTCTTGAACACTTAGTGGTGACACAAATGGTTAAGCACTCCACTTGTAACTAAAAGGTTTGTAGTTTGCATTCACTCAGCGGTGCCGCACAAGAAAGGCCTGGTGATCCCCCCTCTGAAAGTCCTCAGTCATTGAAAACCCTGCGGAGTGAGGCTCTGCTGTGAAACCCACGGGGTTGCCAGGAGTCGGAACCGGCCCAGGGACGGCTGGTCTGGTTTGACTGTGTGCCACTCATTGGGCTCCATGGGCCATGTGTACTGTCACATTTTGTCCTCCACTCTTCCTGTGGGGGGGGATCCCATGGACTCCTGTACCGATCATGAAATGAAGGGCCATAGAAGTCACGTAACTGGCTTAAGGCCCCAATGTCGGAAAACGATGAAGTTGGAATTCCAACTCAGATCTGCCTGATTCGTGGGACTGCTGGCAGTTGATGGAAACTCATGTTTAAAACCACAGTGAACCAACAAAGGGCATTTTACTGGTCATGACCGGGGTTTGCAATGGCGCCAGCTCATCGTCCTAACGCTCGGTAAGAGAAAAGGACCACGTGCCGATCCTTCCTTCCCTGGACAAGCCAGGCAGGGAGGTGAAAAGCTGGTGAGGACACGCTTTTTTCATTTCGGCAGGAAACAACTCTCGCTAATACATGCAGCAGGAATGGCAGAATTTTTAACATTGCCCTGTCGCAACCTTTCGTGGAAGTGTGGGTCACTCAGCGGGGGATGAGAAGCCCGCCTGTGCGTTGGGAGGGTGAGCCCACGTGGGCAGGCCCCAGCAAGAGCCGCAGGGAGGTGCCGGGCCTGCTGACTGGATGTCAGAGCAAGTTCACGAACCGCCTGTGAAGTGTTCGAGCCTGAAGTGTCTCACCTGAATCTTGTCAAGCCTTTAGCTCCAGCCCCCAGTTTATATGGAACACAAGGCCAAAGCGGGGTGGGAAGGGATGGGGAAGGGGAGTTGGTGAGGCAATTTGGCAGAGTGGTTTAAGCATTGGGCTGCTAACTACAAGGTCAGCAGTTGGAATCCAACAGCCCCTCCAAGGGAGAAAGATGAGGCTTTCTAGTCCCTCAAAGAGTTACAGCCTTGGCAACCCGCCGGGGCAGCTCTGCCCTCTCCTACAGGGTCTCTGGGAGCCAGCATCGACTTGAGGGCAGTGAAATCAGTGCCCTGAAGGAAAAGGGCAAAGGCTTTGTGGGTGAGAGGTGCCCGCAGAGTAAAAAGGCTTTCAGAGCTAAACTGCAAAGTGCAGCGTGGACACGTTGCCTGACTCCTGATCTAGACACATCAACAGTAAAAGGACACTGTTGAGATTGCTGAAGGACATTGGAATGTAGCCTTATCCATTGGATGGCATTAAGCAAATATCACAGGAATGATAACAAACAGAGATGTGACCTGGCCGTCGGGGATTCATTTTAAATACTCCAGCAAAAACAAAGGAGTAATGGGGTGACACGTATGTGGCCATTGCTGGTAGTGGTCCAAACGTGGAACTATCAGGACCCAGAGTGGGACCCTGATGGCTTGGGCAACTAAGAGGAGATTTGGGTCATGGTGATTGGGAACCAGGCCGGGGAGGTTTGCTATGAGGCTATCCCTCCTTGAAGAGGTAGGTGCATATACTCCTGGGAGGCCCTGCTTGGCAGGGGGTGTTTGAGGGCAGCCACTGACCAATGCCTCTTCTGTAATGGCAGCCTGCCCACTGTGGCCCTAAGGTGGGCGCGGCAGGTAGAGCCCAGCCCTGCTGTTGGGGGTCCTGATGGCCAGTCCCTTCCACTGCAGAGCAGGGAGTCAGGGTGAGATCTGGTCGTCTGGAACACTCAGACCTTTCTGTGTCCTCTTCTTCAGAGGAAGTGGCTTTCCGGAAGAAGAGGCTTTGCATTAAGTTTATCCCACGGGACTCAACTGAGGCTGCCGTCTGTGACATTCGAATCATGGGCCGGACCAAGCAGGCGCCCCCTCAGTACACGTTCATCGGGTAAGTCTTCATAACACAGAGCTCATTCGGTCTCTCAGGGCGGAAGCTGGAGAACTTTCAGGGAGGCCCAGAGGCTCTTTGCGGTCTGTCTGTCTGTCTCTCTCTCTCTCTCTCTCTCTCTCTCTCTCTGGCATCACTGTTCTTCCTGCTTATGTTGCGGCAGGTCCAAGAGGCCACACTGCGGACCTCCAGTGCCTTTGTTCATCCGGTTTGCTCTTCCCCTGTCCCGAGGGCTCATTCTCTGAGCTCCTCTGGACCCTTCTCCGATGCCTCAAAGCCAAGATCTTCTCTTTGTGATACTACTGGGCCTCCACTCGCCACAATGTGTATTCACCCACTTGGATGTTCTTAAAAGGAGCCCTGGTGGTGTTGTGGTTATGCTTTGGACTGCTAACTGAAAGGCCAGCAGTTCGAAACCACCAGCCAGCTCCAACAGAGAAAGAAGGACTCTCCTTAAGAGCTACAGTCTCAAACTCACGGGGACGGTCTACTTGTTCTGTAGGGTCACTGGGTCACAGTTGTCTTGATGGCTGTGAGTCGATTTGGTTTTGAATGGGTGAGAGTGTGACTGCTAACTGAACGGCTGATGGTTCAAATCCGCCAGCCACACCACAGGAGAAATTTCCTCCCTTAAAGATTTATAGCCTCAGAAACCCTCTAAAGCAGTGGTTCTCAACCTGTGGGTCGCGACCCCTTTGGGGGCTAAATGACCGTTTCACAGGGGTCACCGGATTCAGAACAGTAGCAAAATTACAGTGATGGTTGGGGGTCACCACAACCTGAGGAACCGTATGAAAGGGTCGCGGCCATAGGAAGGCTGGGGACCGCTGCTCTTTAGGGTCAATGAGTTAGAAGTGACCTGATGGCCATGGGCTTGGTTTTTCTTTTTCTTTTTTTTTTAAATCATTTTATTAGGGGCTCATACAACTCTTATCACAATCTACACATGCATCAATTGTGTGTAAAGCACATTTGTACACTCATTGCCCTCATCATTCTCAAAACATTTGCTCTCCACTTAAGCCCCTGGCATCAGGTCCTCATTTTTCCCCCTCCCTCCCCACTCCTCCCTCCCTCGTGAGCCCTTGATAACTTATAAATTATTATTTTGTCATATCTGTCCGATGTCTCCCTTCACATGTCACCCACTTTTCTGTGTCCATACCCCAGGGAGGAGGTCACATGTCGATCCTTGTAATCGGTTCCCTCTTTCCAACCCACTCTCCCTCTATACTCCCAGTATCGCCACTCACACCACGGATCCTGAAGGGATCATCTGCCCTGGATTCCCTGTGTTTCCAGTTCCTATCTGTACCAGTGTACATCCTCTGGTCTAGCCAGGTAGAATTGGGATCATGATGGAGGGGGGGGGGCCTTTAGGAACTAGAGGAAAGTTGTATGTTTCATCGTTGTTATATCACACCCTGACTGGCTCATCTTCTCAAGAGCTTGGTTTTTCATTTTGTCCCATTGGTGAGTTGGCGAAGATAAGCAAGGATCCACCTCTGGTGGGTTTTATGTTCTAAAAGGGAGAGACAAGCAATAAGCAGGAAAATAAATCAGACAATGTGTCTAGTCGGAAGGAGCCCTGGTGGCCTAGTGGGCTCCCGCTGGGCTGTGGGCCATGAGGTCAGTCATTCCAGAAACAAGCTCTTCTACTCCTGTAAGTGAGTCTCAGAAACGCACAAGGGGCAGTTCCACCTGCCCCGAGGGCTGCTCTGCGTCTGAGTCGACGATGCCAGTGCGTCTGAGTGAGGTCGTGGGGAGAGAGCTGCCCTGGCTGGGCTGGGCAGGAAGGGGTGACATTTGAGTAGAAACCTCAATGTCAAGAGGAAACCAGCCAGGCACAGATCTGAAGACGGAGCCTCAGCCTAGGTAGAGCAGCCAAGCAAGTGGAACACTGGTGTTTTTGGGAAAGCAGACCAGTGTGTTTTGAGCCTGGTGTTTTTGGGAAAGCAGACCAGTGTGACTGGGGGAACCAGCCAGGGAAAGAATGTCAGGGGTGAGAGGCCACCTGATGGGACCTGGTGGCAATTTAACTTTTCTCCTGGGTGCACTGGAAACGCATTGACAGGATATAAGGAAGAAACATGAATATCACATGATTACATGGTAACTCTGTGTACACTACTTAGTCTGGCGCATGCCTTTCCTGGCCAGTAGTAAACGGGGGCCGAGATCTGGGTTCTTGCCTGCTGTGTCGTTTCCACCCTGTTTTCAGAGCGCAGGGGCTGGTGGTATACCTGCTTCATAAGCTGCCTCGTAGGACACTTGGCCTCTCATGCCAGGCTCTTTTGATCGTAAGTGACAGGAAGCTCAGCCTATTGGCTGAAACAAAAGGAATGTATTGGCTGACATGGATTCAGGGGAGGGGGTAAGATTGGTTTCAGGGGTGGGTGGCTTGAGATGCTCAGAGAAGGTCACCAGGATCCAGTTTCTCCATCTCTACTTTCTCACTGCAGTTCTGCCAAGGTGGCTCCATTCTAAGTCACATTTCCCCAGGGGGTGCATGGCAGTGCAGTAGCTCGCCTACCGTCCATGCAGGCTCAAGTTCGCCGGCCAAGAGCAAGTCTATGTGCCCGACACTGCAAAGGAAAGTTCTGAAATCCAGTCCCATTGGCTTCCTCGTTTCAGCTAGGGTCTTCTGCACTCCCATTGTTGGGAAATGTCATTCTGTGGTCAGCCAGACCTGAGCTGGAAGCTGGCAATAGATTGATTAAGAGTGATGATAGATAGATAGATAGATAGATAGATAGATAGATAGATAGATAGATAGATAGATAGGCATATACATAGATATATATACATACATCTATCGATAGATAGATAGACAGACAGACAGGAAGAAGTAATCAGAAGTGGATGATGCTGGCTATCAAAACAATAAGCAGTTTCACTGTGATCAGTGCATAGACTTTTGAGTCTGCCTGTTATTTAGTGTGGGAGGTGGCGCTTCATCCCCCAGCTAGTCTTTCCAGCCATCGAGTTTGTCACGGTGGTCCCCAGGGATGGGTCCTCCTCGCCTTTTGAGGTTAGCATCCTGGATCCGGTCTGTGCTCTGTTTGGCTGGTTGGTCTTTCGAGCCCAGAGCCTCTTTGTCTTGACTTTATCAGCCAGAGCCTTTCCCTTGACACTAGCCACGATTTAGGCAAATAGACAAGAGCTGTAGCATCTTTTGAAGCAGTGTTAGTAAGCGGATATCACAGAAAGAGATGCTTTTTTAGCTTGGCCGTTGGGCATTTTCTTGAGCTTCTTTAGCGATGGAATCTGGCTGCTCTGTCTCAAGAATCTCTGCTTCTTCGGACCTCTGTGATCATTCCCTGCATACTTGCTCCAAAAACCTGTTTGCCACATTGTTTAAATTAATTATGTAAACAGGAGTAGGAAATAATTAAGAGAACAACCACAATTCCAGTGCCTTAGAAGCAGCTGTTTACATGCAAACAGTAGAAACCAACAGTTTAGTTCAGAGCTTTTAACGTCTCATTTCAGTTATTATGTATATTTTTAATGACAAACGATACCATTTTTTAAAGATGGATTTTTTAAATGATTTAAAATTCTAAGCAATAGATTTTTACCACGTCTTGATCATCAACAGTAGAAGCCTTTTGCTTTTGAATCCTGTTGAAAAGATTGCTGAATAAAATACATTTTCGTTTCATCTTGGCACAAAATTCCTTTCCCAGTAGTGGGGGGAAATCCGGTGTTATTTTTAAGGAAGAAAGGAGAATTCAGTCCTCAGAACTCGAAGTCACTTGTTCTTTCAAAGTGGGCACAATTCCACTTGCATACTTGGCACGTCAGCCGGAGAAGCAGAAGCCTTCGGCTCAGAATGGCGCTTCGGAGACCTGACGTGTTGGAACCCCTGACAAAGACGCGGTGGACGCGGGGAAGCTGGCGGGAATCAGTGCTCTAATAAGACCTCGTTGTGGTTTTAGGACAGAGCTGGTGGTGTGCTCTGCCGCTTACTAGAGGTGACCACAGAGGACATCTGTTTTCAGGTTCCAAAGAGAGGATAACGCTCTAGATCAGATCTGACGGACCCGGGTCTATGGAGCAGTTGAGAAGTTCAAAGCCAGAGGGGGCTGAAACCACCCTGCTGCCACCCTGAAAGGAGGACCTGCCTCAGAGTCACTCCCGACTGTGGGGTAGGGCCCGGTAGTGGTGGGCATCTGTCAGACCCTCGAGGGGTCCTCTCTTAGTTGAGGCGGTTGGTGAGGCATGTGTCTGGGGCTTTGTGGTCTGAAGATGCCCCGGAAACACAGCAGGATTTGATGATCTTGAGCATGAAGCCAATCGTAGGGAACATCTTTGCTTTAAAGGACTCTGTCTTGAAATAATCGGTCCTTGGGTGGCACGAACATTTCGAACTCAGCTCCTCACCTACCCACCAGTGGCTCGGTGGCAGAAAGGCTCGGTGACCTGCGTGCCTAGAGATTAGGGCCAAGCAAACCCCATGAAGCAGCTCTGCTCTGTAGCACACGGGGTCGCTGTCAGTCCAAAGGAACTCGGTGGCTGTAGGCTTGGGTTTTGTTGTTTGGATCCTGACATGGGTGCTTGTTGTAGAGTAGGGCGAGCCTAATTCTCCTGGTAGAAAGCCAGGCATGCATGTCTCTCAGTCCATGTTCCCATCTGCCTCATCCCAATTGCACAAAGGATTTGAAGTAAATGACCACACACATCAACACCTCCTACAATGAAGTGACAAAGAACATTAAAAAATTAAACCAAGAAACATGGCGGTCAGAATAAATTTCTCATCATGAAGAAGATGCTGTGCCAACAAGTCCTGCCTTGATGAGAGTTGCCCTCCCACTAGACCCTGAACCTCCCCGGAGACCCCAGAGTACAAAGGAGGGTGAGGGAAGTGATCTTGCATGGGCAAGGATGAGTCAGGCCTCTGCTTCTCTGACTCTTTCGAATGAGGTGGTCTGCTTTGTCCCTGTGGCAAGTGCTTTGGGGTTAAAACTGCACCTTAACGATCTCTCTTTTCTCCCGAAGGGAACTGAACAACATGGGGATCTGGTATCGAATGGGCCGAGTACCAAGGAATCATGATTCATCTCAACCCACGACGCCTTCCCAGTCATCCGCTGCTTCCACCCCAGCCCCCAACCTCCCCAGGTAAGGCCTTGCCCTCGGTGACCCTTGCTGTCCCCTCATGCCACAGCTGTGTGGTCTGGAGTCCCACCGTGTCATGTTTCCGAGTACCTTCACAGAATACCTGCAGTGTCTTGCTGAAAACCCATCCAGGCAATCTCTCCTGCGAGGAGGTTGTGACAATACCATGCACGTGCCCAGGCCATTCTAGATTCTATTTGGTACATATTCGGCAGGCCCCTGCAGTAGGAGTGTAGCCAGCCCCAAACTGGCTACTGCAAAGGGCTTAGAGCTCCACACAGAGAGACAGGCTTGGTAGCCATGTAGTTTGGGGTCAGAGGCCTAAAGCAGGTGGGATTTCTCCTCTGCCTCAAACAGCAGCTCCCTTGGAGCCCAGGAAGGCTGGTAAGTAATTATGCTCATTTTCATCGGGTTTCTTTTCTCAGCGAGCCAAAATCGATTTAAACAATGGGTGCTTGGGGCATGAGAGAATCGCGAGGAGCTTTTTCAGAGATGTTCATTTTAATAATTGTCACCACAGAGGAACTTGGACAAGCAAACTGGCTTATCTCTGCAGCCGGGTTCAGGCAGAGTAAAGGGAATAAAAGCTCCTACGTCTTCGCGGAAAGCAGATGGTAAGAACGGTCTCTGGTGACAAAGAGCCCTGGCATCGCCAGTAGCACATTGACGGCAAGGAGCACGCGGCAGGGATGGATTAAGTTTGAGAAAAGGCTTTTAAAAGTAAATAACAAGTAAGAATGGGTGAGACAGCATCTTGGAGGGGTCGATGTGGGGGAATGAATCTAGAAGCTGCCGTGTCAAGGAACAAAGCTTAGCAGGGTCTATCTGGAATAGGGGAGTGAAGGGGGGACCAGCGGCTTCCTCATCCAGGCTGCACCGAGCCCACACCCCGCCCTCAGGAGGCGGCAAGTTGGGGTACGCCAGCTCTCAAGCCATTCGTCCGTACACAGCACCCTCCCCACCCTCCACTATACGCTGTCATGAGCCACCCCCCAGAGGACACTCTCCTTGGGAAAACCTCTTCTATCAAAACAATCTGGTCTTTCTCACGTTCCATAAACCAAGCGTAGGACCTGACGCTCACTAGGCCGGGAACCGCCTGAAACTCTCAGTGTGTTCGGTTCCCCTTTGACGTATACAGAGAGGAGTGGCCACAAGCTTCCCGGGCTGCAGGCTTGGGCAGCCGGGCCTCTGTGGTGCTCCAAGCGTGAGCACGGCCCAGTTGCACACTTGCCCGTTCCTTTCTCCTGGACAACAACCCGTCACAGCCGGGGGCTGGAGAGCACTGCTGCGGGTCACCAGCACCTGGGCTTGCCATCTGTAGGGCCAGCTGGTCACCTGCACCCAGATTCAGTGTCCGTGTAAGGCCAGCTCATCACCTGCACCCAGATTCAGTGTCCGTGTAAGGTCAGCTTAAGGCCACCACCGGCACTCACGATCATTGGTTTGTTGTCTTGGGCATCTGAAAGTCCATATTGCCTGTAAGTAGTCACAGCTGCCCCCTGTTGACCACATATGATCTGGGATGGTCAGAAATGAGTCCACCACAGGGCAAGCTAGAACATGCCATCGAGTGGAGAAAGAACAGTGCTGATCCTCGCAGCCGAAGCATGGAGCTTGATCTCCCAGGAGCGTGCGGTGAGAAGACGGTCACTTGTAACTGAAGGGAGAGGGCCAGGGGTGCCAGGCGGGCATGGAGGGGAGTGCATCCAGACAAAGGGCCTGTGTGTTGGATAACCGCCTCTTTGAAGGTTTATGGTTTACAATGGCTACAGGGAAATTGAACCCGTTTTGTTTTACTTGCCAAATAAAACAAATGTCAAAATAGTCAATATAAAATGTATTCTAATTTGGCTGAGTTAAGCCAGTCAGGATGCAGTGGGATAATTGAATGTTACATTAAGGCTTCCCAGTAAAAGCCCCTTGTCTGTCCCAAGCTTGCCTCTCTGTACAGGTGATTAATCTACGGGTTGTGTACACACACTAGGTGAGGCTCCTAATTCATTCACGGTTTTTTTGGGGGGTGGTTTCTGTTGTTGTTAGGGGTTTTGTTTTCCTTTTTCATATATTAGATTTTTTTTAATGACATTCTAATGATTGATTCAAGTGTTAGGATTCATTCCCTCACCGCCTTTGAGTCCATTCTGACCCTATGGGGTGGGGTTGAACTGCCCTGTGGGTTTCCCAGAATGTAGCTGTAGCAGGAGTAGAAGCCCCGTCTTCCCCCCTCGGAGTGGCTGGTGGTTTCTAACTGCTGCCCTCTCGGTTAGCAGCATAATGCATAACCACGACGGCTGGCCACTTAAAAGGCCACGTGATGCTAATCATCTCCACGGGGCAGTTGCCCCTCCAGTCAGGACGGACAAGGAAGGGAGGGGCAGCAGTTCCTGGAGAGACTCAAACTGCCCCTGAGCAGACACTTGGCAATCCACCTCACAGCCCTGGGGCTCAATGAAATAGCAATGGGCCCTCAGTTCACACCGTGTTGTTCCAAGGTCAACTGCAGATTATGTGCAGATTTTCCACTGGGTGGGAGGTGGACGCCCCTAACCACCCCACATTTTTGTTCAAGGGTCAATGGCATCTTCTTTCCATAGATGAAATGAAAATCAAGCTCCTTGTAAAATTAGGAATCCGTGGGGTGAGTGCAAGTTTCCTGGACTGGTGAAAAGTCGCCAGCTGATTGCAGAAACCGTCCACCTGCTCTTGTCCACCTCC